TAATCATACTTTAAAATATGTTTTAACTGCAGAAGATGCTGGTAAAAAAGGGTAAGTCTTTTGTTTATTTGACTTTTAACTCACTTATGCCTAATCTAAGCATATTGAGTAATTGACATAGAATTTTGAGGTATGATATTATAATTTAGGTAATGTACAATCATAATCGTCTTGAAGTGGATATTTGTCAATCTGATATTAATAGGGTTGTGGAAATTGTTTAATTATAATTGAGATCATTAACCGATCAGTGTTACCCACTATTGAGAACTCGAAAGCGCTGGATGACCATTTTGTCTCATTATGGGACTTCTCAGAAGTACGCATCTACGACCCCGCACCGAAAGAAATCCAACCGAAGACCTTCGTTCTCGTGTACGGATGTTTCACTTCTAAACCAATGAGCCGGTCAATGTCCAATGATGTTAATGTCGTACTTCAATGAATTCACGATATTGGGCGACCATCTTCCATTGTCTTCGGTGTGTAAATACCTCACACCAGACACGGCTGAACTCCATTAATCATTATATCATTTTTTCTTCTTTACACTACACTAAATCGACTCTTTTAAAGTAATGATCCTGATTTTATTATATTTCAGTGTTCGGAAAACATTACAAGCTAGAACCTTGGAATATATTTCACAGATTCGTGACTTTTACATGGCACCAGTTGTTCGTTTTGTGTATAATACTGTAAGTTAACAACTTTCTTTGTTTTTGGTAATACTCATACTATAAACCATAATTATCACTCCTCACAATAGTTTATAACCTTCATTTAGTCTTAGTTACTAGGTGGACACTCTCAAGGTCACTTATACAGTCACTATCAGAGAAGTCCTACTCATTTCATTCTCGCGGCAGGGGTGTTGTTTACGAAATTGAAAAGACGAAAAGCGAATGTCCAGCGCTTTAATCAGGTTTGTGGACATGGAGAGTTCACCTAGGGGAGTTGGAAAACCCTGATGCCAAACCAATGGTGGATATGAGCTCCAGAATCCTGGGGGACCAGATGAATTATGAACCAATTGTTTATCACCGGCTACCATGAAACTGCATTTCCTAACGTTGCTCCACTGCCTTGTGGATCAGACCTTCAGATAAGATAGATAGGCAGATATGAATTTAACCATGGGATGTAAAACGATATCTGAAATATTCTTTCATAATATACATCATGGACTGATTTGATTGAAGACCACAAAGTACTGAACATCTATCTATCCATGACAATGACTGAATACATAACCCTCAGATATGATAACAACCATTTAACAATTAGCCATCTAAACTAGGATACATTGGATTATATTTCACTTATCTTATCTTTCAATCCATTTGATGAATCATCACCTCATATCTCACTTTAGTTATACCCTACTGGTTATGAATTCTCACTTTAATTATAGGAATACCCTTTCAAAATTAACTCAATCTGCCTATTGATCATAGTTTTAATACATAGATGATCATTTTTACATTGATAATCACTAAAGAATATACGGCGAGACCCTAACTACTTATGAACGACCTTTGAACGAATCTTAAGTGGCATTGAGAAACATTAGCCAATCAGCAAACAGTCAATATAGAGTAAAAAGATGTTATATAAAACAAAAGAAATAAAGTGGATACACTTCTTAGACGTGGTTCAAAAACTTGTCAGGGTTAGAAGAGGTTAAGAGGTTCTAAAATTGTAATGCGTGCAGTAGAGCAAATCGTCCATACGGCTACAGAATAGTCGGCCTCTGGAGTCATGATAAAGTCTCAAAAACTCTTTCAGCATCCACCACATAGCTTCAATATTGTTTATGTGCACTCCAGTTGTTAAGTGCACAAAATGCTACTCGTGGATAACGACACGATGCACATAACCAAGCCTATATAGGAGTGTGTACGCTCTCCAATCATCCGTATATATTGTAGTACTTGGCTGCAGCCGGTGTTACTGATGCTTTTATTATCCAGTTCGCAATATTTGTCATAATTTGCTTCAGTTAGGAATCACATATGGGGTTTTCATCACGAACTGACATCAGCTATAATGCCAGAAATCTATTTAGCCAAATGAATGAAAGGCTTTCGCGTTAAAATCCGAGATCTATTATCTTATACTTGATTGATTCATCAACAAATTATAGTCCCGCCGTTTTTTTGTTATAGCCGCTCAATTATCACGTTTTGTACAAAATTCCGTGTGAACCGATCGTAGGTTAACATTAAGCACTGAAGTTGGTGCCGTAACCTTGAAATCACTAAAACGCCTCTGACTGGCTCGTCCATAAATTAGAGTCTCTCCTTTTTTTCTTTTCTTTTTTCTTTTTTTCTTTATAGATTTCATACATCACATTTCTCATCTTATTCAGTTATTTATTATTAGTTGATTTTCGAATCAATATCACAGTTGTTGAATATGTTGTTATTGCTTGGGTAATTACATTATTTATAGAAGAAATTAAACAGGTAATCAAATGTATTACGTTTCCTTTTAAATTGATGAGTTGATCTAAGTTAGACAAAGAAGTATTGGATAGAATATTTCGTCCTCGTATTATAGAACTTCTTCACAGTATGATTCCATCATCATACATGCGGGAGTCGAGTCGTGAATGTGATTGTAAAAATACTACTACTAAGGATGTAGATGGATTTAAGAGACTATACAAAACTATTGCATATATATATATATATATATATATATATATATATTAGAAGGGGTTTTGTGGAGATTTTAGGAATTTCACTGATTAATATCATGAGTCAATCGAAGCTAGACCACCATGGAAAACGTGGAAGCACTGGACGGCCGTTTCGCCCCACTATGAGACTCCTCAATGGTCTAGTTGGTTAAGCGTCTTGCGCGAGACTGATAGGTCCTGAGTTCGAATCTCGCGGGGTGCGGGATCATGGATGCGCACTGATCAGCAGTTCCATAATAGGACTAAATAGCCATCCAGAGATTCTAGGTTTTCCATGACGATCTAAATTCAATTGACTCATGATTTCAACTATTGAAATGACTATATTATCCTCAAAACCTCTTCTGATATTAATCAACAAATGCTCACTAGTAACTGGCTTCAAGAAGTATATCCTGGAGTTCTATTAAGAAACAGTGACCAGTGGAGTTCAAATAGGATATTATGAATATTTATACTACCAAAACAGAGAATGATCAATAACTATTACCGTGAGAACATCTAAATCAGATAGTTGATCAAACTAGGTTCATTACAAGTTATATTAAATATAAATGATGAAATTAAGAAACACTTATCACAATACGTATGTACACTTCTATATTGATTTAGTTGAGTTTATTTTTAGCATTAAATTGTAGAAATCGTCGAGTTTGATCGAAATTATGAGTCGATATCAATATGAGATCATCATTGAAAAACCTGAAAACATTTGATAACTGTTTTATCGTTATATATATAAGACTGCATAGCAGTGCACATCTATGATTTCATAAGCGAGACTTTGAACTCTAGACCCTTCGATCTCACATGTGAATAGCTCACCTTCAAACTTACTGATTCGGAATCCAACTATATTCATCTCTAACGTTAACCAATCTACGATATTGTGCAATCATCTTTTTCTTTAAATAGTTGAATTCAAGGGTTAATTGAGGCTAGATCATCATGGAAAACCTGGAAACATTATACTTCTCAACAATGCTCATCCAAGATCCCGCATCGTGAGATTTGAACTCAGGATCTATCGGTCTTGTGCATCAACGCATAATCTCTAAACCACTGAAACTGACGGCATCCAACGATGGTAATGTTTAACTTCAACTAATCCACCAAATTGAATAACACCATCCACCATTGTTTTCAATGAGTTATTATCTCACAACAGACCCAGTTGAACTCCATTGGTCACTGCTTCTCATTAGAACTCCAGAAAATACAACTCGGAGAGCGTCAATACTGATCATATATTGACTCATATCATAAATGGTTTTTGTGGATATTATAATCATTTCAATAGTTGAGATTATAGGTCAATTGTAGTTAGACCATTATTGAAGACCTGGTAGCACTAGACAATCGTTTCGTCTTAGTATAAAACTCTTCAGCTTAATTCATTTATTAAAGTTTCATATATATTTTCTTTAGCATTCATTTTCATTGTATATTCTTTTTCTTTACTTTGCCCCCCCCTACCGTCTATTTACTTCATTACCCTATATGGTTACCATCAATAAAACATTGGTGATTATGTTCACTCAATATCGAAACAATCAAGATTGCATGGGTAAGTTATGTTATGGTTCATTTACATTTTTATTAAATTTGTTATCATCATGTTTTTTTCCTCTTCCCCCCTTTTTTCTTTTCTTTTCTGTATTACTGCGATAGACATAGTTCTTTTACTCTTTTTTTGGAGGGGGGGAGAATGTTCAAAGAAATCATGTTGCGTAATCATATATTACATTTGTATAAGAAATAGTAAAGAAAAAAAGAAGAATTTATGATCCGTAAATCGATGGGGGGGGGAGGGGTTATAATAATCATAACATTTTTTCTGTTTTTGATAGGGTTTAAATAAATCACAATTTTTCGTCATGATAGGCTTGGGAAGATTGTTGAGTTTGTAATTGAGATCATGAAATAGATCAATGTTGGATCATCATTGAAAATGGAAAGATACTGGATAGCCATTTCATTCTAATTTGGAACTCCTCAGCATTAGGCATCGACGATCACACATATAGGACTCAAACTCAGGACCTTTAGTCTCTAATGAGAAAGCTTAACTTCTGAATCAATAAGCCCAGTATCCATTAGTGGCTTTACATTGAACGGTTCGTGATCTTAATTTAAACTCAACAATGTTTATAACTCTATACTGATAATTATTATGTGCTCGTTAATGACTACATTTGAAACGGAGTTTTCGGAGTCTTTGTAATAAGCCATGAATAGTAGAGTTCAACCATGTCAGCTGTGAGGTAGTTACCGACCGAAGACAATGGAAGATGGTTGTTCAATATGGTGGATTGATTGAATTTTGACAAATATATTCACTTATTAAATATCAACAAACTAATATTCTGAAGTATTTTGCGTTGACAACAGTTAATAATCACTTGTATATTCTGCATGATGGTTTTCGTAGTTCTCCAAGTTTCCGATCCATAAAGTATAACTGTCCTGACATTCGTATTGAAAATTCTGACCTTGGTGTTGTTTGACAGTTGCTTTGAGTTCCAGATGTTCTTCAGCTGTAAATATGCTGCTCTTGCTTTACCGATCCGCGTTTCCACATATGTATCAGATCCACCGTGTTCATCAATGATGCTGCCCAGAAATGTAAAGATTTTTACATCCTCTAAAACTTTTCCATCAGATGTGATTCGATTGGTGCGTGTTTTGTTGTATCCAAGAATTTTGCTTTTCTCTTTATGTATGTTGAAACCTACTGCTTCTGAGGTTGCTCCTACACTAGTCGTCTTCGATCAATATGAGCAGCCTATTGTCTTTATTGGTCCTTTTTCCTTCTAACCCTAACAGTTGAATCCAGAACATCAATAACAGCTTCCATTATACGAATCATTTATTGCAAACATACTTGGTTTATATACCAACCAAACAGACCACAACACACCATAAAGTAGGGAATAACATTTGTACAAGATCAAGCCAAAGAGTGGTTGTGATCATGGAAGACGGTACTCAATAAACTGAACATAACTCAAGAACAGTAACTTGTAGATCAAAATGAAGCTTATAATAAGAGGAATATAATATACACAATCTAACTACTGAATAGCTATACAATAAGGATATATACATACACATGACAACAGTCCATAAATAGTTCTCAGAAGTTACCCTTAACTTAACCTTCACTAGGATATAACAGAGTTGGCTATTCATAAGCATTTCGATAATGCAATAAGAGAAGATGAAGTTTATCAAAATTATGTAATATATTGCGCAATACATTTCGAACAGTTTGATCACACGTCTATACTTGTTAAGACATTTTTATATGAAAACTAATAAGTCAACTAAAGGTAAGTCGTAACAATCAAAAATAAAGTACACGAGAACAGTGTGATCACCATTCTGGATAATAAATCAGTATTACCAGAGTAGGTTAAAGGTAAGAACAAATTGAAGCCAAGGCTTCAATAAACCTTAGTATACGTCCTTGAAGACTTTTGTACAAAACTACAAATGCTGACTTGATGTTAACCTTATGATCAGTCTCAATCAAATGTTTCCCAATGAAGCAAGATATCTGTCTATCCTGTGATCTTATTTGACCATTGGAATTCATTTGTTTCTGCAGCCATTTGGTTATGTATTCCGTCAACCTTAATTGTATATCAGGATTGCTCCTCCCTACGTACGTGTTTCCGCACATACATGTAAATTGATAGACACAATCGCTTATGTGCTGTTTGGATTTTTGGTGAAACACAGACCTTGTCTTTTCATTGATGACAAGTTAGGTCGCATAAAATGTCCAGTTGATGGTTAATTTAAGTCTCCATTTCAACATGAAACTATTTGAGTCGTCTCTAAATGGTAACATCATATAAACTCACTTTTTGGATGCTAGGAGTGTCATAGGTCAGTAGTGCGCATCCACGACACCGCCTCACGGGATTCGAACCCAGGACCCATCAGTTTCGCGCCATGCACTTAACCAACTAGACCAATGAGCTGGCATCTAACAGTGTTAATGTCTAACTTATTCAATAACGTTTCAGTCAAGAGCTTCATTTCTATTTCAATAGTATCACTAGTACAAATATGATTGAGTCTAATTGAATAAGCCTTTTATTGGTCAGTAACTATGGAAATTAAGATGTTTCCCTATCTATATTGGCTTACTCTAGAAGCAGTATATATATATTAGTTCGAGAACATCATTGTTTAGTGTATAATGTCCTAGAGTGAACATCAACACTAAGATACAGATGCATCCAGTTGATGAGTCGCCAGTAGGACGAAACGTGCATCCCAGATACTATTATTATTATTATTGTAATGTATATGAAAATCAATAAAGTGATTTGATACTATTCTCTTTTCTTTTTCTTTTAGGCTGTATTATCTGGTATCAGTTTTAGAACTTATATATCTGATGGATGGAATAAATTAGATTGTGCTGGTTTAGCATTATATATTGTTGGTTTTATATTAAGATTAATTGTATTATTACGATTACGTAATCATGAAGGAGAGAATTTTAATATACAATATGAACGTTATTATATTGTGACAGATCCGATATTAGATCCATCACGTATATGTCTTGCAATTAGTTTATTCACATTCTATATACGTTTAATGTATACATTTAGTTTTCATATTGCATTAGGACCAAAATTAATTATGATTGGTAAAATGGTAAGTTTTGATATTTGTGTTTTTTTTTTCTTTCTCTTTTTTTTCTTTCTATTTTTCTCTTTTTTTTACATTCATCTAATGGGTAAAGACAATGGTGTACGGTGGCGCAACTTCGTGGATTGGTTGAAGTTAGACATTAACACCGTTGGGTCCCGGCTAAGCGTTTTAGTTGGTTAAGTGTTTGGCGCGAGACTGATGGGTTCTGGGTTCGAGTCTCGCCGGGGCGGGATCGTGGATTCGTAATGGGTGGATATCTGGAGATTATTGAAATCTTAATAAGTGTATAACGATGGTGTAATAAAGTGAGCAGTGCGCGCGAACGCTTGATCTCTAGACCACTGAGACTGTATCCAATAGTGTTCATGTGTAATTTCAACTAATCCATGAAATTGAGCGCCACCATCCATTATTGTCTTCAGTGAATTACTAACCCACAACAGACCAGGTTGAACACCACTGGTCAGTGATTCCTACTAGAACTCCAGGATATACCTCTTGAAGCCAATTATTAGTGAGCATATGTTGATTAATATCAGAAGGGGTTTTGAGGATAATACAGTCATTTCAATAGTTGAGATCATGAATCAATTGAATTTAGATCATCATGGAAAACCTAGAAGCACTTGATGACCATTTCATTCTATTGTGAGACTTCTCAACATTGCACATCCACGATCCCTCACCCCGAGAGATTCGAACCCAGGATCTATCGGTCTGGCGTGCCAGCGCTTAATCTCTAGACCATTGAGACCATATTCAACGGTATTAATGTGTGACTTCAACTAATCCACGAAATTGAGCGCCACCATCTACTATTGTCTTCAGTGAATTACTATCTGGTCACTGCTTCTCATTAGGACTCCAGGAAATATATCTTCCAGCTTCTCCATCATGATCTACTTTTGACTGACTCATGATCTCGACTATTGTAGTTACTATAATATCCACAAAACCCCTTCCTTAAACTTACATAGTGATGCATTTACTTAGTATTATTTGCTTGTATCTTCCCATTGTTGTTAAGGTCTTCAATTAATCAGTCTTTTATTGATATATATATATCCTGTATGGATTACCTAAGTATTGCCTTAAATCACAAGTATTATAAGCAAAGATGGATGATGAATATCAGTGAAATCCACGATAAGCCACACATCATCCTATTTATGACTTGTCACTTGAATGTACCTGTATCTCAGAGTTGATGTTCACTCCGAGACTCGAACTCAGTATCGTTCGCTTCAAACGTCATCACGTCATCCACTTATCTATTGAATTCTGATAGCCACTTGCCTGTTCAATGGAGTGAAGTTTAAATTAACTTGGTATTGTTTGGCTTGTATCTTACCATTGTTGTTAAGAACTACAATTGATCTCAATATTGCTTTAAGTTGATGAAGATTTGTAGCTCAGGTGGATGATTTTTATGGATGGTTTGAAAGATACAACCATAACAAAGAAGTAAACAATGACAGGATTAAGGTCAACAAGAACCAAGCAATATCGAGATCTACACGATAAGCTATGAGACATATGTGAAAAAATTCGAACATTTCACTTCCATCTGAAGTTTGTGCTGATGATGTCGTTCAGAAGAACAATGAAAGCTCCACGACCAAATAATCCAGCTCAGAGAACAAAACTCCACCAAAATTGCTTTATGTTACAAAGATTCTAAGCAAAAATGAATAGTGGCTAACAGTAGTATTCAAGATTCACTTTTCGTCCTACTTGAGATGAAAAGTTCACACATAATAATAAACTTCATCTTAATACTCATCATCATTGAACATCATTGATTTGAGGGGAAATTTCTTAGAAACCGTAAATGAAAAACCTTGTAATAGAATATTAATTTCCAATTAACGTACAGTCAATCATTTTAGCAAAAGAATAAGCCTATTATTATTACCAATCGATCAATGTACAGCAGCTACTGGAAATCTGTCAGTATTGAATGATCGTTTCATTCATGTATGGGAATCTTCATCAGACCACATCCACGATTCCCCATCATAGGGAGTCGAAACGAAGACATGTAACCTCACCCACGAATGATTAACCTCTAGACCATTAAGTCAGGATCCAATGGTGTTGTAGTGTTTAACTTCAACCAACCCACGATATTAGGTGACCATCTTGCATCATAATAAGTCTGAATCTGTCAGCTTCAAGTTATTCTTGGCCAAGGTATTGATTTATGCGTAAGAGAGTGGGCTATGAAAATGTATACATTTGTAGCATGAAGCCGTGAGGTTGAAATCGGTGTGTGTATGTATATAGGTAGATTGTGTGCAAAATAAATCAGGTCGAATATGGTTGTTTAGTAAACAGTTCAGATTGGATGATAAGATAAAAGATAAGATCCCGTTCACTTCTACAAACAGATTTGTCTACAGATTAAGTTGTGTTGATTTTGATGCATTCTACATCGGAGAGTCTTTCCGTGTGATCTCGACGAGTGCTAAGAGACACGTAAGTTACACACATATAATTCTGAATCCTTTAGACTTCAGTAGGAAAGGAGGTCTGAATATTTATCTAATCTGGAATGTTTATCTAAACAACGGCATTTGATCTTATTCATTTCCCACCCGACCTACTCACCAAATTTCAACCTCACGAATTCATATTCCAAATGTATACATTGTTGATACTCACAGTCTGATGTTCAAATTGATTCATTGACAGGTCGGACAAATTCATCATGACTAAGAATAACTTGACATAGACAGATTCAAACCTATTATGATTAAAGATGGTTGCTCAATATAGTAAATTGTTTGAAGTCAGACATTACAACACAGTTAGATCTCGGTTTAGTGGTCTAGAAACTAATCACCGATGGGTAAGGCCGTATATACTCAGTTCGATTCCCTATGATGTAAAATCGTGTTTGCGCTCTAATGAGGATTCCCATACTAGAATGAAACGACCATTCAATGCTTACAGATTTCCAGTGGTTTTCCAACATTGATCGATTCGTTATATACATATATGTGTACATGTATTCGATACTTTTAAGTTTGACCTTGTCATTGATACCTAAAAACAGTTTGTTGTTTGTTTCTTTCATTGAATTTTATCTCATAAGGTGACCAATGATTTAATTCCATTTATGATTATTTTAACTGTGATTATGGTTGGTTATGCAGTGGCTGCACAATCAATCGCCTATCCAAATGGTTTATTTACCAAAGAGAATATGACATTAAGTAGGTTTTCTTTCTTTTTTTAATCTGTCCACATTTTAAACTAATATGACTATAAGCAAAAATGAATAGTGACCAACAGTGGAATTTAGTATGACATGTGTCACTTCGTCCTCTTTGAAACTCTTCAGCTGAATGTATTTTTATCCCAGAGTTGAGTTTCACTCAAAGATGAATCAATTACAGTCCATGAAGGTTTAGACTTAAGTCAACTCAAAGGTGATTAGGTATATTTCCTTAGATGAATTTGAGGAGAAGATTGTAGTAATTTCAATAGTTGAGATCATGGATCAATTGAAGTTAGAACACCATGGAAAACTTGGAAGCACTGAACAGCCTTTTCATCCTATTGTGGGACTCCTCAGCAGTACGCATTCATGACTCCGTCTAGTGGGATTCGAACCCAGGACTTGTCAGTCTCAGTTAAGCATTAACACCGTTGGATGCCGGCTCAGTAGTCTACTGGTTAAACGCTCGCACGAGAGATTGTGGGACACCCAAATATGAATACTCAACAATTTCTCATCGTTTATTATTAATCATTCCATGTTGTTTTCATTATTTCAAGTTAAAGTTTAATTACAATTATCAAGAGTACACCCTATTCTAAATCAGTTTATTTATTATCCTAATTCATTCTCTTGTTAAGTTTGATATGTTCAGATTGACATTCTAATCCATTTAATACGCTTTTTAAAAGAGGTCATTGTAAATTCAATTGGTAGGATTATTATAAGCTTGAATAGTTCACTTCTTGTTCTTCTTCTCCTTCTTCTTCTTCTTCTTTTGTTGTTGCTGTTCTTGTTCTTGTTCTTTTTCTTCTTCTTCTCGTTCTCGTTGTTGTTCTCCTCGTTCTCGTTGTTGTTGTTGTTGTTCTCAAAGATTACGATTACATTCATAAACAAAAAGATACGTCAAATTAAGGTCATTTGTTTACAAATATGACAATGATATAATGGATAATGTCAAATTTATATTAAACAGTTTCTTTTGTTCTTCTTGTTGTTGTTGTTAGATAGAAAGAGAAATTTGATGGATTCTTAATTATTCTTTACATTATTAATGAGTAAAGATAGATAATGACTAGCAATGGAATCTAGTTTGATGAGCGTTTTTGTCTTATTTAGGATTTGTCATTTAGATGTACCTATATCCTAGAGTTTTATATTCACTCTGGTATGCGGTTGACGAGTACCAAATAGAACGAAACACATGTTAAACTAGATTCTACTGCTAGTCATTATCCATCTTTAGTTAGAATGCTTTTGAATTAAAGCAATATCGAAGAAATCCGTACAGGATGTACATAAACCAACAAAAGATAGATCAATCGCAACCGTAAACATCAATGGAAAGATTCAAGTAAACAATATCAAGTAGATTTAAACTTCAACTCATTTCACAAGCAAATGGCTAACAAGACTCAGTAGTTAAGTAGATAACGTGATGGCATTTAAAGCAAATGGTACTGGGTTTGAGTTCCAGAGTAAACATCAGCTCTGAGATACAGGTACATTCTGCTCATCAGTGAATATTTATTAGCAGAAATGTTCTTCAGAAAACTTACATTTCATTGAGTTCATGAGTCGATCTAAGTTTCATAATCAGTCAGTCAGTTAGTAACATCGTAGAACTTCGTATATACGTATATCAGTTCGAGTTGCTATACTACATTAGCACAGAGATACAGTTGTCGATTCAAATACCCGTCAAGTTTCATAATGGATTTTCAGGAATCCTAGTAAGAAATCGTGACTAATAGATTTCGATTTATATTGAGTGTGATACATTTATCCACTTCAGACAATAAACGAATTATTTCAAAAGATCATGAATTGATTGAAATTAGACATTCACGGGCGAGAATAGGCAAAGCAAGGGCCGCATTCCTACAATTGAAGAATAAAGGAAACTAAAAACCACTGTTTGTTAATCGATATCAAAACCAGGATCTTCAATACGAATATCAAGACAGTTCTACTCTGCGCAGTTGAAACTTGGAGATCTACTTCAACCATCGTCAAGAAGGTAAAAGTAGTTTTAAATAGCTGTCTACACAAGATACTCATCATCCATTGGCCAGATACCATCAGCAACAGCCTACTGTGGGAGAGAACAAACCAGCTTCCATCTGAAGAGGAAATTAGGAAAAGACGATGGAAATGGATAAGACATACACTACGGAAGTCACTAAACTGCATCACGAAGAAAACCCTAACTTGGAATCCTGAAGGGAATCAGAAAAGAGAAATGCCAGAGAACACATTACATCGTTGAATAGAAGCAGATATGAAAAGGATGAATAACAAATGGAAAGAGCTAGAAAGGATTGCACAGGACAGGGTTGGATGGCGAATGCTGGTGAGTGGCCTATACTCCTCCACGAGGAGTAACAAGCGTAAATAAGTAAGTAAGCAATACATTCACACCGTTGAATGCCAGCAAGTTAAATACTTTAGAGTTTAGTATTCACACGTGAACCGAAGTTCCTAGGTTCAAGTCCCTTTAGTGCGAGATGATGAATACACACTTCTGAAGACTTCTATCCTATGACAAAACGATCGTCCAGTACTTTCAATCTTTAAATGATGGCTCATGAACTCAACGATTAAAATTCCTACAATCTCCACAAATCTCCACTTTGATAGTAACGATAATGTTAGTTTAGTAAGTTAGTTAGTTAGTTAGTTATACCTAATCTATTGTGTTTAATTATTCAAGAAAACTCATTTTATATTTACTTATCATGTCATTAGTTATAATTAATTAATTAATTATTCATTTTCATGTATGCCTAATCATCCAGCTTGTTTACAGTAATAATAGTATTGATAGTGGTAATAGTAGTGGTAATAGTAATGGTAAGAGTAATGGTAGGATTAATGGTAGGAGTAATGGTTATGGTAATAATAATAGTACTAATAATAGTAATAGTAGTAATGCTTATCTTCTCTAAATTCTCTTTTGTTATTGTTTTATTCCCTATTCTAACCCTATCCGAACTCCCCGGTTCTATTTCCAAAAAACAAAACAAAACAAACAATCTAATTGGGATCTTCAATGAATTAAAGATTCTGAAATTAAACATATGACATTTGCTGATATTATATTTTCAATGTATACAACTGCATATTTTCAAATGTTTGGTGATTTTAGTTTAGATGCATTACAAGGAGAAGGTAAGTTGAATTGTTTGATATCAAATCATACTATTATTAGTATGAATAATTGGTTTGTTATGTATTAGATGGATGTAGTTTAACAAAAACAAAATAAAATGTCATCTGTGTGAAGTTGTGAAGATTGTTATGGGTTTGATTGAGATTATGAATTGATGAATGTTAGATTGGTAATGAAAACTTGGACGTACTGAACGACTGTTTCGTCCCAATATGAGAATCCTCATCATCCGTTTTCCTAAAGTTGTGTACAATGGTTTATTTTGACAGTTATTGAATACATTTGTATTTCAATAAGAAGATTTTAGTTGAACAATCATATAATAACTTATTGCCTTTTCCCTATTCATATATGACGTACTGATACCGCCAATTAAAGAAGAGTGATTTATTGATTGTATCAATGACCCGTAAAATCCATATAAGCAATCTAGAGTCCTTATCTATCCTCGAATGAATTCAGACAACAATCAAAGCAAAATGTCGAAGCTTAAGTGACTAACAAGATTAGTTATTAATCTAAACTTGTGGTTTAGTCTATTGAGCATCAGTATTAAATCATCATAACTTGAAACAATATTGGCTAAAATTTAGTAGTTTGAATTGAGCTACTTGTGAGTAGTTAAACTTTTCGTACAAAATGTAATGACAAGAGAGATCCATAGTGTTGGTCTAAATATGGTGGGTTCGAGATAGGCAAGTGAAAATGTCAGCCAGAATTGTACTGACTGATGATCTCAAATAGAACAATATGTTGAGTCCGTTATTATCACACACACTTAACTTTCCTTTCTATCTTTGGTAATCTGTCGTTTTTCATTCTATATTGTTGGGGAAATTCAGAAAATTTTTCTCGAAAAATGGCCAAAATAGGCTCTCAAAACTCTGGGAAACCTCTTATCTAATCAGCATTCAATAGACGTTTTATCAGAAACATCTAGAAAGTGGAAAGCCACATGTCCCGTTTCTGATTGGATGATTGCCTATTACTGATACTTTGTTTAGTAACGTTCCAGAATCTTTCGGAAGCCCAAGGCTATTTAAAATACTATACATACCCTAGATTTTTTGTACATAAACAAACTTTTGGAGTAAAACGGTTCTTCATATTTCACATTTTCTCTCCCGTGTTCAGATTGTAGTTTAGATTTAGGCTGAAGGTTATTAGAAGAGCGTAGGAAACCGAATCTAGCATTCAATTAGAAGATTTATCAGTTATTTCTACTTCTTTTCAATCGTTTTGATATCTGTTAACTAGCCAGTATTACAAGTTGTCACCATTCTATTCTTAACAGTTATAAACTGAACACTTTTCTTCACCCTACTATTATTCACCAATCGAATATCTGGTTTCTACAAACAACTTACTATACAATCCCAATTCACATTGTTTTAATCACTCATTATCATTTTAATTTACTGCTGACTACTGCTTGTAATGAATATGTTAACTATAAATACGATTGTACATCTTACGTAGACGAAGTCATTTAATAGAAAGTTTTATTCGTTGAATTGTCTTCAATGACATGATGGATTTATTTTTTTTCGTATTTTATTTTATTTAAAAACTTTAACTACTTACAAGTAGCTCAATTTAAACTACAAAAGTTTAGCCAGTATTGTTTCAGGTTACGGTGATTTAATACTGATGCTCAATAGACTAAACCACAAGTTTAGATTAATAACTAATCTTGTTAGTCACTTAAGTTTTAGCATTTTGCTTTGATTGCTGCCTGAAATTACTTTTAAATACGATTGTACAGCTTACATAAATGAAGTCGTCTAATAGAAAATTCTATTCATTGAATTGCCTACTACTTAAATTATTCACTTTACATCTAACCTTCTTAATGGTGAATCAGATAGACTTCTACTTGAAGTTAGTTCTGGTGATGTCTTTTGGAAGGAAGACGAAAGCTCCACAACCAAACCATCCACCTCAGAGAAAAACTCCATTAGAATCATCCACCTGAGCTACAAATCTTCGCCACTATATTGGCTACTACTCCAAATACAGGTTAGTATATTCATATTGGAAAACTGACAGATAAGTCTGATATGCAATGAAGTTCTCAGATGTTCTACAATGCCATGTATTATTTTGACAGTAATCAACTTAAATAGTTACAGCTGTCAATTGAACTGTAAATGTACATTTCTGTGTAGTTATGACTAGCAGTCTAAAGAATCTGTAATGATCTAATCTGTCGGAAAGTAGCTAGAACAACAACATTCCATAAGTGGTAATAGTTAATAGTTTCTAGCCAACCTCC